TTTCAGCAAGTGACTGCTGTAAATGCTCAGTAATTGCATTTTGGCTAAAGCAGCTGCTCTGGAAAGATGTCCAACTCTGCTCAGAAACATCTGGAGGTGAAGTACCTATGACTTCCCACAGGAATTAGCTCCCCTGGTTAACCGCAGTCAATTTGAAAAGAAATGATGTCTTGTTTTCTCATTTTCATCAGCGTGGCTTCACCTTCCAGTCCTTGCGGACGTTGCTAATGCAGGATGCTATGCGGTCCCGCTGGCTCCGGGCCACACTGCTTCAAGTCCAGAGCAAAGCTATGGTAGATGCACAGCTGGGAGCAGGAAAGGGCTTTGGGTATGCAGCTCAGACCTGCTATGGACCATATGCTGCTGGTCCTGATGGCCTTTCAATGGGACTGTCACTTTGTAGCCCGTGACTTGAAGCTTTCATAGAGGTGTTGGCTAGGAGGTGTGGACTGCTTATCTCATGTTTGGTGTAGAGAGTGATTCATGGTTCAACTTCCCTGGGTCCTGGAGAATGGGTGTATAAAGCTGTCCTTGCCTTGGCAGCGTTTCCTCCAGAGAGCCAGACTTTTGTGTTGGTAGGTGGGAGGGCAACCCCAGGGTTGTCCCATTCCTGTCAACAGATATAGCCAAGGAGGCTGGAAAAAATGATTTAAATCATTTTTGGAAAGAGCCTGGCTGTTTTGAACACCCTGCTATTAGGCTGCAGTGTTGCAGGTTGCCCCTATAAGACTGCACCTGGCTGGGGCTTGAGCGACCACATTCCTGGTTCCTACGTTCTTCTCCTTGGCTGATCCTATGCCTTTGCAATGCAATGTCAAAGATACCTTGTGTTCAGTGAGAACAGAGCTGGAGAATGCAGGCCAGCAGATCCTGTCCTCTAAGGACAAAGTGTTTTGCCTGACCTAGAGGCAGACAGCTGTAGGATCTACAAGCAAGGAGCCCCTTGCTCCTGGCTGGGGTGCAGCCTTGCGATAACGCAAGCGTGGTGAGCCCGTGCCAGCCAGTCCGTGGTGCAGGAGCCTCCGAGCTGGAAGGGAAGGAGAGAAAGCAGTTTCTCGGGGAGGAAGGAAGAGCTTTTCAGCAAGTACTTGGTCGTGGCCAGTGCAAGCACTTCCAATCCTTCTCCCCATTTCAGCGCTTGTGATCGTTACCAGCTGGCAGGAGCTCAAACGCCTGGATGCGAAAAGGGGGAGTCCACAACACCCCTGAGTCATACATCTGGCTCCTTCCTCAAATAAAATAGTTTCTTGTTTAACTCCTTCGTGGCTGGTCTGAGGTTGTGCTCAGACCTCTGTTTCCAAAAAATTCAGCTCTGCTAAGAGGGTTGTGAGTTTGGATACCCCTCCCTGCTCACACACAAAGAGCTACGTGTGCAAGTGTAGGGTTGTTAATTCGGACCAGGCATGAAAACGCCCAGTTCTTATGCTCCTGGAGCATCCTAGTTTGGTGAGAGAAGGCAAAGAGTAATTAGGCAGCCCTTGAGGATTTTAATGTGGCAGATCTGAAGTTCAGCCTGGTAAGCATGAAATGCTGGAAATTAGAGGGAGTAATGAATTTTAACACTGCCCTAAGAACATTCCCTCCGCCCCTTCCTTTTAATTATTTTGCAAGATTTTTTTTTAAATGATCCTGAGCAGTATTCCTTCTCGTTCTGCTTGGTGTTTCCTTTGCAACTCAAATCCATCTCCACCCTCTCATGTGAGAGCATCCCCGCAGTGAGGACAGATGGCTGTCAAGGTGACAGTCACCGCGGGGTGGGATAGCAGGGCAAGGAGGTGGCACTTTAACCCCAGGCAAATTTGGGTGGCAGAAAGGCTGGAGCTCCTTGGCCAAGAAGACTGTGGTCCTGTTCTCATAGGGATGGACATGGCCCAGGGTGTCTCGTGGAAGCCGGTGTTGCAAGGGTTGTTGGAAAACGCAGCCGTTGCAGAGCTGCCCTGGGGAGGAGCAGTAATTTTATGAATGAGCAGCCAAGTGCCAGCCCTCAGCCACGGGACAGGCTGCGGAGCAGCGTCCAGCATCTCCTGCGTCAAACCCATAACTCCTGCCTTAACTCGAGTGTGGCTTTTAGAAAGGTACCAGACCTCCCTCCCCTCCTCGCTAGGCTCTCTTCCTAAATCTCACTGGTTCTTTCTGCACAACCTCCCATGGAAATGTCCTTTCCCGTTTGTCAGCCCAGCTCATGCACCAGTCCAAGCAATTCATCTTGTGTCTCAGTTCACAGCAGCATCCTTCTCTCTCAGCTTGTTGTATTCATGCAGAAGGCAGCTGCCAACCACCCTTCTGCAGCTCTGCTGCCTTGCCTGTGTCGCTCTGTAGCAGTGGGTGCTGTCACTGTGAAAGTCCTGCCTGATGGGGACTTGAAAGGAGCTCATTCACTGCTGAGATGTCCCCACGACCTCCCTGGGGACATCTCCCCTGTCCTTCACCCTCTTCCTCTGCTGGAGATCTGGAGGCTAGCTGGGTCTCTGGCTCTCTTAGCAGGGTGTCTGCATGTTTTGACTGCTGGGTGCATTCCCTGACCGCTCAGTGAGGCTGTCTGCTTTTCTACAAGGAGTAAATCTGGTATATTATTCAGGTTTTGATATCGGGCCATTTATTTTTAAGGTTTTTCTGAGGGCAGGTGATGCATTTAGGCCTCTTTGTAGCATGTGGGAACTGGTCCTGATGCCAAGGAGAAAATCCTGTGAGCATCACTATAAGCCCTTTATATGCAGCACCTCAACGCACTGCTGAGCTGCCTTCAAACGCTGCTGTGTGAATTAATACTTTTTTAACCAGTCCCATGCAGGCAAGGTCCTAGCGGGTCATACAGCACACCAAAGGCAGAGCTGCTCTCCCTGTCTTTGGCCTGCAAGTTAAGATGTTATAGAATCATAGAATAGTTTGGGTTGGAAGGGACATTTAAAGGTCATCTAGTCCAACCCCTTGCAATAAGCAGGAACGTTTTTATAGTTATAAGCTATAAAATCTCAAATCCACAATCCTGGAGGATCATCGCTGAATGCTCACTTATGTTCTTCCTCCACCGCAGGGACATGGGAGTAGAGAGACATCGGGGTAGGTGGGGTGTTGGCCATCCAGTACCAGCGGTGTCCTCGTGGGAGATGTATTTACCTGTTGCGTTAGTCCATCCCATGTAGTCCACCCAGGGTGGTGCCTCTCTTGCAGTTCAGATCACATGTAATTAAAGGCCTAATTGCCCCTTTGCACAGTTATTTGCAGTCGCTGCGTCCCAAGGCACGGGGCTGGGACCTGCTAGGTGATTTGGAGAAAGGTGGGTGGCTGGCACAAAGCACCCTGCAAGCTGCTTTAGCAACTGATCCTCAGCAGCAGAGACCTGTGGAGCAGCCAACAAGGGCGTTATTTTGGGTTCACTTAAGCTCTGAGTGATGAGCACTTGTGCTGCTAATCAGGCTGATAAATATCGTCAATTAAAACCTATGCTTTGCTCTTCTGCTTTGCAGAAGTGAAGTGTTTTCATTTCTCCCAGATGAGAGGAGGCTGGCTGGGTGGGTGATGCTCTTGGAGGATTGCTCTGACCAGCATGGGCATTGGTTTAGCTCTCAAGCACCTACTTTCCTTCAGCTAATCCTAGTGATTTATTAACAGGGGATGTGACACTGCTCCAGTTTAGATGTCCAGCTGTAAATGATCATATAATCCCTGAAGTTTTGGATGTTTACAGATTAGCTGCTTCCAATTAACCTTTATTGCAATTTCCTTGTCCCTCCACATGTGATGATTTTAAGTGTCTATGGATGTTCACCACAATAAGCATTAGTTTCTATATGTCTCACTGGGAGTGATGGTTTAGGCCAGCTTGTTGGATGCATCTGCCCGCTGGATGGGGCACCCTTCGTTTTACCATGGGTGATGTCGGAGACTGCAGCTGGGATTATGTGGCACACAAATCCCCATTTCTTTAGGAAACCAGACTAGATGTTTCCAGACTAGGGTCACTAATGGTCAAGGGTTTGAACGGGACATCCCGTTTTGGGGAGAGAAGGATTGTACATGGCTGTTATAAATAAAGACAGAGAAACTTTAGGGAAGGAGCTTTGGAAGAAAGTGTTATTTAATAAAGGGGAACAATGTAGAGCATCCCCTTGCCTTGCGCCTGCTGTGGGACCAAGGTGACTCGACCTGCAGGGTGGAGGGATGAGGACCCGATCAAAGTGGTTGGTACCCAGTGACCAAACGGCAGGGCTGATGGAGAGGTGCTGCGCTCTCTCTGGGGGGCATTTGGGCAACGGTTTCCTGCTGTCTTCTGGATTTCTAAATTCATGCCTCTGCCCTGGAAGCTAGCAGCTTGTCAAGACAGAATAATTAATCCAGAAACATGTGGCGTTCTGCCAGGAGGCCTTTTTTTTAATTAAAAACAGATCCGATAAAGTCTACTGAGCAACTGGTGTCTCTGATGAAATCATGAAATGTATGTCTGTGATTCGAGGCTGCATGGTGGGGGTGCTCTGGGTAGGGCTCAGCCTCCATAAAACCTGTGCACACCCAGCTTGCAGAGGATGTCTCCTCCTCCTTTGACTCCAAGGGCTGTGTTTTTCCCAAATGAGTTACAAATTCACTAAAAGGCGGGACACCAGTTATCATCTCCTACTGTGCCTGTTTTGGTGATGTTTGGCCAGCTCTGGGGTAAATGGGAGTCCCATGTCCAGGGGATCTGCAAGGTATGCTTGAGCTTTGAGGAGTTATCCATCTCTCCTCGTTTGGATGCAGGATTTTCCCTGCCTGTTTAAATTGGTGATGGAGCACGCTGATACCTCCTGGAGCGAGCCAGATGTGCTTCATGGGACTATAAATGTGGGGTCTAGCGATGTAGGACAGCCAGATCTGGGGGAAGGCAGAGACAGAGGCTGGCTGGTTGTCTCCAGCCACAATGTCTTGGTCCTTCCACCCAGGTGCTGTGAAGGAGGATTGGGTGTCCCAGGCCAGACCCTTCCCCATCTCACTCCCGCTCTCCCTCCCAGGGCCGGTGGGGAAGGATGTTTTCCTCGGTGAAGCCATATGAGAACCAGCGCTACGCCTCCCTGAAGAAGGAGTGTCAGAGGCGGAAGCAGCTCTTTGAGGACCCGCTTTTCCCCGCCAACGATGACTCGCTCTTCTACAAGTCAAGGATCCAGGGCATCCAGTGGAAGCGGCCAAAAGTAAGTGCGCCTGTCCCCTTGCACCTCTACGCTGCTTTACACCATCTCTGCTCTCAGGCGTCCCTGAAAATGAACAGCACATCCTTCACCAAGGATGCCAAGCCCCGGCCAACATCTCTTCTCCCCAGCAGGGTTTATTTTCCTGAGCTCAGCATCATGAGCCTCTGGGATGCCAGGGAGACCTGCTGCACCCAGGTCCAGGCTGTTCTGCCCCCAGTGAGGCCAAGGAGCAAAGGAGGCTTCTCTGTGACTCAGTTTCCCCATGCATAGAACAGAGAGATGGTTTGCAGCCAGGTTGGTGTTGGGTACTCTTGTTAAGCCTGGTGGGTCCAGCAGGCCAAAGGGTTATCTCTGCGTACTCTTGGTGGTCCATTTGGAAAGGGAAAAGAAGATAAGCTATATGTGGGTGAGGTGGTTTTGGGGTCTTTGGGAGGTGGGTGGTCTAATCCATCCTTCCTCTCCTATGCAAAACCGGTGTCCTCTGCATGTCCTCTGCAAAAACCACTCTGTGTCACTGCTGTGCCTGACATGGAGCCAGGTTGTGGGAGGCTGGGGGTAACGTTGCCTGTCCCCAGTGCTGCTTGCTCCCCTTCTGCTGTCCTCAATGCCTGCCCAAAAGATGCACATCAGGACCTGAGGGCACCATGTCTTGGGGAATTTGTATGCTCTGGTATGGCCATCTGCTCGGGGTTGACCATGCAGCCACTTCTCTGACTGCTGTGAAATACAAGGCGTCCCAGGGAGCAACAATAATTGCGACTGGGGAGAGGCAATGGCACAGCATCTAGCACACCTTCCTTGCCTGTGGGGAGGAGCAGCCCTTGCTGCCAAGCCTGTGCTGTTTCGCACACAGCTTGGTGGCATTTCAGCGTGGCAGGGTCTCCTGAGCTGCCGTTGTCCTCCTCACCCCCGCCGGCAGCCCGGAAAATCAGCTGGCCTTTCGCAAGACAGTGCTGCATCTGTCTGGGTGAGGGCAGTCTCAGGAGGGGTGGACAAAAAGGCTTTGTGTGAAGGGAGGGATGGAGCTGAACTGACTTTCTGTGTGGCAGGAGGGGCTGAGCCCCCCAGCATCCCACGGGGCTCCTCGCGGGAGGAGGTCTGACTTCCCTCTGCCCTGCGTTGGGCTCTTCCATGCCAGCTCTGCCTGGACATGGGGTTTGTGCAAGGCTCTGCATGCGTTTTGGCTTATTCCCCTTGTCTGCTGGAGTGGAAAGATGCTCCGTGCACAGCTGCCTTCTGAAGACAGGGCTCACCACGGTTTGGGCTCGTGGAGGACAACATGAAAAGCCCTTGCGCATCCCACATATAGGTGATGCCCGAGACTTTCTAAACAACTTTCTTTGGGGCTAAAGGGTAAGGATGTATTTGACACCCCCTTGCTGTTTTGTATTCAGAGACACTTTAATTCAGCCCCACGTCTAATGGCAGACAGAGGGTTGGATGCAGTTGTAGAGGGGTGAAGTCTGCTCGTCTTCTGCTGAGCATCTGTGTCTCAGAGCTTGCTGCGTGGGTCACGAATAACTCTGGTTATTCAGACTTTATCATGCATAGACTTGTCGGTGCTTCTTTTTAAGGAGGAGGGAGACCTTTTCTGAATGGGTGACCCACCTCCTCTCCATCTGCTTTTCTGGCTTTCAGCTCACTTGCAGCCCTAGGTGTTCAGGCATGTAGCATCAGCTCTTGCTTAGGAAGACATGAGGTCAGCCAGCAAGACATCATCCTGTTGCTGCCTTCCTCCAGAGAGCATCAGGTCTTTCTAAGAAAGGTTTCTGGATCTCCTGGTCTTCACCTGCATGGTGGCATGCTCAGCTAGGTCCAAGCCCATCCCTGCTGAAGCATGGGGGTGAATTCAAGCTCTTTCCAACCAGCCAGCTCTGCAGTTTGAACAGAGGCTCCTTCTGGCATGGGCTGGCAGTGGGAATGGGTGCTGGAAGTGGGTCCCACGTAAGCAAGGTCCTGTGCGCTTAACTGGAGGTGGACCTGCTTCTGCACCAGACGAAGGGAACTTTGCCAGCCATTTCATAACCAGCAGTCCATGCTCAGCAATAGCAGTCTCCTTGATGCCGCTGTCTGGTAGGATCGTCTGATCAGACCTGTCTAGCTGCCCTGACCACAAAATCACCATAAAAAAAGGAATTTGAGCTCACATGTGCCCTGGTTACTGCCGAAGCTTCCAGAGGCATCTTTATCTAAAGGACTTCTCCAGGTTCGCAAAAGTGACTGAATTTCATGGGGAGAAAAACTGCTTTGTGCCAGCCAGCCAATGCCAAGCGACATTTTTAGTTGCTGGACCCAATTCTGCCTGAATTCAGACTGGCTCTCAAAGGGAGAGAGCCCAGCAAAAGGCTCCAGCGTCTTCTGCAAGAAAGCAAACGCAGTGAATCTGGATGTTAGGGATCTTGATATCTATCTCACCACTTTGCTGCCTGCAAGAGATCTGGGAGAGGGTGTAAGAAACTGCATGAATGCAGTTGTAAAAGCCCACGTTGGTGTGAAACAATTTTACACCCACCGTAGCGGGTCTTGCTCTGTGTCCAGCCTGAGGTCTGCTGCAGAATTAACCCTGCTCTTTCCTACATCTGTAATCTCCTTGGTCTGGTCTCTGCACGGGACGTAGTGGCAGCACTCGGAGGTTGTGGAGGAAGGGCTGGAAGCAACTGTTGGAGGTTGCATGGGAGAAACTAGGTAGAGTCTTCAGAGAGAAACATCATCGGCTTCTCCAATTTAATGAAGTGTTAAGTAAGGTCCAAAATGTCCACGAAGTTCAAATCAGCTGCTCTGCTTGTGTGGTAGTTGCACAGTATGGTTATTAAGCCACACTAAGTCCCTACAGCATCCTTTTTCTATTACAACCAGCAAATCTTTCCTTAGGCAATCACATTTTATTCTCGTTTAGAAAAAACAAACAGAGGGATAACCCCAGCTTTTGGCAACTGCAGTTTTGGGGAATCCCTGACCCAGAAATGAAGTCTGCCAGTCCCCGGGACACCGTCTGCAGGGAGGGGATGGTGTGTACACACCTCTGTTATCTCTCAGGGCCATGGTTTGTTTTGGAGAGTTTCAGCTGTAACTGCATGATAAAACGCAAGAGCTCATCATGCCTCAAGCTTTGCTGTGAGAGCAGAGTGGGTGGGGAGTGGAAAGAAAAGGCATCAGCTATTAAAAACAACTGTTTGCTTTCTCAGAAAAGCTGCCGCTTGTGATCTACGCAGAGAAGTGATATGTAGGAGTTAACTGTTTCAGGCAGAGTGCTTGCATGTGAAAAGTAACTGTAGTGGACTCACTGGGGTGGTGGGAAGGAGCTTTGGCAGAGGCAGGACCTCATTCCCATACATTTACATGGCACTAGTACAAATCTGAACAGCCGGTCTGTTGTATGTGCATCCCTTCCTTCCCAACCAGGACCTGCCCTCATCCTTTCTGCTCCTCCACGTGCTCCCAAAGCCCGAGGTTGCTTTGGGGAAAAAAAAAAACAACCAAAAACGGCAATCTCTGCAGTGCTCTGCCTCTTGCTTGAGGTTTTTCTGGGCAGGGGGGAAAAGGGGAGGCTGAAGGGCTTTGCTGGAACAGCTCGTGAATAACCCTTCCCGGGTCAGGCTGTTTTGTTTCAACTTCCTCCTGCATCTGGCGTTGCAGACTTTCCTGGAACGGGCTGAGCCTTATTCTTTCCAGCGGGGTGTCCTCCCTCCCTCCCTTCCTCCCTGCTTTCCCCTGGCCTTGAGCCCTGCTCTGGCTGCCAGATCTTTGCAGAGGGAGCAGCTGTTTGAGCCCTCTAATCGCGCTTTGGCTTGGGTGGTTGTTTGCCGGACGTCTTCATGATGCGACACGACGAAGCCAGAAGGCTAATTGCTCCAGTGTATCGGAGGGAGGGAAGCCGTAGCATCAGCCTGAGCTGGGAAGGGGGTCCTGAAGAGCGTTGTTTTAGCGCATCCACTTAAAAACGAGACTGGCTGCTCATTGCTGAGCCAAAGCAGGTTTTAGGGCTGGCTATAGCAGCATCAGCGGCTCTTTCTGGCAGCAGCACTTGGCTATTGCATTAGAAATTAAACCTAGCTTTTTGGACTAAGCCCAAATCCCAGTACCTTGCTTGAAACTCCTTTCTCTTGTGCTCTGCCTGCTACCATATGAAGGAGAGGGTGATCTCTGTATTCAGTACCACCCGTAGAGAAAGTCTTAGTCTGATCCTCAAGCTCTGGGTTTCTCCCTCCCTGTTTGAGGCAGGAACACTGGCAGTGTAGCACGGGAGCAGGAGTTTTAGTCTGTGCGTTGGTGAGCTGGTCTGGGCTGTTGGGAGCTGGGGAAATGGGGAAGGGTGGTACTGAGAAGAAGGGAAGGGGATGGATGAGATGCAGGCTGGGAGGCAGAAATAAGGCGGGATCTGGGGCAGCTGGCTGTGTCTGTTGATCCCCTGGAAAAAAAACCAGTGATGGCCCAGGATGGAAGAGGCTCATCTACCCTGTGGGAAAACAGTTCATCTCTTCTAATCATCACTGTCCCAAACTCTCTTCTCGGGTACAGGCCACTTCCAGTGATGCCATGGGATTGGTACAGGGTTAAATTAAGGTTGTTAGTACCCCTGGGCCTTAGCAAGGGCTTGCTTTCGCTCTGCAGCAAGGAGGGCCATGTGGTTCAGGTTCAACCCACCAAGCGATGACCTGCTGCTGAGAGTGGTCACCAGCCAGGACAAATTTGGGCATCGCTAAGCTCCTGTGGGAAGCAAATTAAGCCTGGTGGGAGGCTTAGGCCATGCACAGATGTGATGTTGAACCACATGAACTGCATGCTCTAGTCCTTCAACTCTTCCCAGGGAGCAAGGTTGAGCCTGGAGAAGGTTTTTTCCTCCCTGTCCTGGGAGGCAGACCAGGCTGCTGTGTGCTGAGTGTTTCCCTGTCCATAGCAGTGTGTCGCAGGACCTTGCAGAAGCACCTCATGGTCTTTCCTAACATGCAGAGTGGTTGGGACAAGAGATCCCAAAGATGCTTGGAGGGGATCAGGTGGCA